TGCTAGATGAATAAATCTCACAAGTCGGGGTTCCGATAGATGTCTTGACGGTCGCACTAGCCGCTACGAGCGAAGATAAATAAAAATAGCAATAACTAAATTTCTCTAAACAAAACCCGAGTCTAAACCTAATTTTAACTAGTTATTTATTAATAAGAGGAGCGGCCGCCTTATGTCCTGGTTTACGGGCACAACGTACGGAGTCTAGCTTCTGCACGCCTCAGCCGGAATGGATGTTTCCTTCGGTTGACAAGATGTGGGGCCCCAACGTGATGTACATGGGCATCGTAGCATGCAAGGCTGGATCCTCCTTGCACCTTTCTCACGCATGCATGTACAGGAGCACTCCCTTGGCTGCATGTGCATGGGTGCACTTGTATGACCCGTGTAAACATCAAGTGCATAATCTCTCATCTTGATATTTATTTTGTAAATGCCTTCAACAATCCTACGAAATAAATAAATTGGTGTAGTATTTTTGTCCCTGGTAATAAAATATAATATCATATAATGATCAATAGAAATTACCTGAAAAATGTATGTGTAATATTTGTAGACATATGTATGCCCACATCATCCTCCCTTTCTTGAAAACAAAGCTGTCCTCGGCTTTCATTTATCTGAAACATATTATAGAGCTACACAAAAATAGATGCAGCGTATATAGGCCGTTCCGAAGGCATTAGCTCATGAGGATGAAATAAATTTGTTATAGCACCATTAGGAATATCATGAAAAGTTTGATCTCACACAAAGTCTATGTATGAATTATGGGGATGCAAATTAACTATATGGGTACACTGTATATCCGGATCACAAGTTGGGACACCCAACGGAAACATTTCAGAATTGATAACAAGCATAGTGTGCATAGTATGATCTGTTGATTTAGATTTCCCATCATTTACTATTTCATCAGGGGTCATAGGAAGCAAGTTGATGGTTTTTCCTTCAAACACAAGAGTATACAAATTTTTTCTACCATGATGAGTAACAGTATTATCATATTGCCAAGGTTGACCTAACAATAAAGAACAAGCTTGCATAGGTACAACATTACAATCAACGTAATCATGATATGAACCAAGTGTAAATTGTACTCGCACACGACGTGTTACCTTCAACTTACCACAATCGTTGAACCATTGGATGTAATATGGATGGGGGTGTCTCGTAGTGGTGAGGCAAAGTTTCTCGACGATCTCTATACTCGCCAAATTAGCTTTCACCATGAATGATCACACGAACGGAATGCCCTTTCACAACAAACTTAGTTTGAAAAAGATTATGGCGTTGAGGCATCTCATTATGCCCCATCTGGGCACTAAGTACTCGCATGGTTACAAGACTTGGTACTGATCGGCCATCTCAGCATTAATATATATCACCTCTGTGTCATGCTCCTTAATGTCACCTAAATTATTAGTGGCAAGCATAGCGCGTGTATCTTCATCCAAATCACTAGCAGAGGAGTACTCACCGTCTTCCCGCACAATGAATGTTCATTTATTTGGGCAGTCCTTCATCAAGTGCCCGCCACCTTTGCATATATGACACTTCATGTCCCTTGTGCGTCGAGACGAAGTGGTGGGTGCTAGAGAAATTGCTTTTGAAGTCTCGGATGATTGTGGAGCTGATTTTGAACTTGATGGGTGTGCACCATTGTTCAAGATAGGTGGTGTTGAATCAGTAGTGGATGGAACTGTAGGAGAGGGTGTCCATGATGATCGGTGACCTGCAGAAAAATTACCTCGTCCCTTGTTGTGTCGTCCCTGTACTCCCCTCTCAGCTTTACAAGCAAAATGAAACAAATGAGTAATAGAATTGTACTCCTTATAGTCCAATATATCCTGAATATCACGATTCAAACCACCTAAAAATCTAGCCATCTCTTCGGTTTCAACTAATCCATATCGCACTAAGCCAATTTGCAATTCTTAATAATAATCCTCTACAGAACTACTACCTTGTTTTAAACGTTGCAATTCATTTAGCTTATCACGAGCATAATATGAAGGAACATAACGTTGTCGCATAGCTCGTTTTAAAGCATCCCAAGTAGCAGGTATATTATTCGCATTAATACGACAATATTCACTCCACCACATACAAGCAAAGTTTGTAAATTCACTAGTGACTTCCCTAACTCTTTGGTTCTCAGGAATATCGTGACATGCAAATTTTTGTTCAACGGAAAGTTCCCAGTCAAGATAAACATCTAGATTATATTTACCATTGAAAGCAGCCATAGTAAATTTAATTTTAGCACTTGAGTGGTCGTAGTCTCGAACATCATACCTATGCGGACCTCATGCCATACCTTGACGGTTAAAAGACAGTTGCTGATGAGCACGGTCATTGTGGTGGTCGATCTCGGTATCACCAGAATAATCCTCGTAATTGTCCCCATGTTCGTCAGTGACGCGGGGAGGAATTTGTTGGTGCTGGTCTATGGTGGCAGCATCGGTGGCAGTAGCTGGGTGTTGTGGATGACCCATGGGGACACACCGAGCGCGCGGAATAGCGGCGCCTCCCGTGGAGTTGCGAGGATCAACGTTGTTGTTGACGGGGATGTAGTCCGTAACTAGTCCAGACGTGACAAGATGTCCTTTAGCCGTGTGTTCGCAACACCGTGTGCATCCGACTCGCTTAATTCGATAAATAGTCGTTGCGTCCTTTGTTGGGCCTTGTATTGTGTGCGCGCGAGAACCGGGCCATCTTTAGCGGGCTTTGGCAGCACGCCGGCCGACTCACACTGCGCAACAAAGGGTGGGGCGTGGACTGGAGAGTGAGATCCGACGGATGTACAAACCGCCGGAGAAGCAGAGGAGGCGGCGGCGGCAACAACCAGCCACCGCGTCTCCGTCGCCGGCCGCCATCGCCAACTCCGCAAGGTCTGCTCTCTCTCCCTCTCTCCCTCTCTCTACTCGGCCCTCGTCCCTCTCCTCCCTCTCTCACGAGCACCAACACGCATTTGAACCCTAGTTTTCTCGTTTTCGATTTGCATTTCGTACTGGCTGTTACTTCTCATAGTCATAAGAGCAAAAAACTCGTCTCTGGATGTTGTTTTGGTAGGGCGTCGTTGCAACCCGATGCGATTTAATTTTTTTGCAGGGGGGGAGTACATCGAGTATTAATGTAGTGGTTTCTCGATCATGAATAAATTTGTATGGCTCGGACATTGGTACACAATCGGTTCCGATTTGGTTTTGGTGGAGACGGAAGCAAGAAATTTCAAAACATAATTGGAGTTTTGGACTGTCCAGTATGGCGGATGGGCATTCCCAGTATAACGCCATGTCCTGTAGCGACACCACTAGATTAACTTGGACGAGCCAGATCAGGGATAGAAGTTGAATCGTTTAAGGCCCTTACAGTAAGGGGTAGGGGGCATGTCCTGTTAGTTACATCACCCACAGCAGCATGTCCTGATAGAAGTTGACAAGCATCAACGCTTGAGCTTGCTTGTATGAAAAATAACTATTGATGTGAGCCATCAACCGGACACCAAATTAGCTTACTCACATAAGCTGGGATGAGATGGGATGGGATGGGATGGGGTTTTGCCCTCCAATACCCTCTGCCACAGTTTGTCGCTTCCTCAAAAAGATTTAACTGCATGGAGGTATTTGACTAAAATAGGTCCTTTCTTCTACACATGGTAGTTTCTTATCCTGGACATTAAAAAATTGAATTTTGTATAAGTTTGTATCAAAACTTTTATATATGCACCCAGTAGTAATTTCTTGGAAAAAAATTACATAGGCAGTATGCATTAACTACATATGAAGAACAACACATGCTGAGTGTTCACTGATTTGGCAGTTGTGGTCCTTGTGGACGGCAGATTTGAGCCCTATAGCGAAGAAAACATTGTTGATCAGATAGCCAAGACATCATTCTCATTCCGCTAATTGAACATCTCAATGAGTGCCACACTTACATTTGATCGAAATTGCATACAGTTGCCCGGGAACTTCTTTGTTCCGCTTGAACCCTTAATGCCGCTAGAGTGCTGATGTGTTCAGGATGTGACACCCGTTCAATGTTTACACTTCATGGATGCTGGATATGCTTATAGAAGTCATATTAGTATGGAAATAGTTCATTCAAATCTAGTCATATAAGTACTTTGCTGGTTTATTGCATTATTAGAATTTTGTATGCTCTAATGTAGAGCATCTATGTGCTTCGAATTAGCACCTTCGGACTATCACGAGCCATACATGCACTGGCTATTTTCTTTCTTAGCACTTCATATATCCCATTAGTTCCTTCTTTTTGTCACCAAATTCATTCTTCTAATCTGTGTATCTTCTTATTTTTCTAATGTTCTGCAGAGAAGCTGGAATTACTTGCTGGAGCAAGGGCTGTTGTCTTTGTGTGTAAGCCATGTCAGGGACCCAAGGTTGGGCAGACCTCCCAGAAGGCCTGTTGCACTGTATCATCGCTCGGATGGGCCTGGGCTCTGCCCCGGATCTTCTTGCATTTGCTGCCACGTGCCGCTCTTGGGGTACTGCTTTTGCCGGCTCCATAGCAACATTCCCACCTCTCCTTCTCCAACCTGATGGCTCTTCTTCCCCTCTTAATGCTAGCCCCTTTAGCAACAACCTGGTGCCCAATCGTCCATATCTTGTCACAGATATAGCCAAAGTCAACCAAGGTGCCATCCTTTGCTCTGAAATTCCTCTACGTCTAGAATGGTTTTCCTTCATGGGGGCTTCATTTGGCCATCTCATTTTGTACAACAAAAAATCTTGTATCGTTGTTGATGTGTCTAGAGGTGTTAGCGTCTCACCTCCACAACTACCACTCGTTGAATGTGCTGAGCCCAACTATGGTGCCCTACTGCTCCTCTCACATCACCCAACTCTCATCTCATTATCGAGGCTGGACCACATAATCTGTTTCGGCGTGTTGGTACCGATTCATGGGTGAGATGTTCTACTCGTCATGGACATATCAAGCAAATCGTGGTCTTCACAGGACGTGTGTTTGGCATGGATTCTGATCGCAGAATCTTCAAAGTGCACTTGACACCCCAGATTAACATCCAAGAACTACCAGTCATCGAGTCAAGCATGATCAGTAAACGGAATCTTTCCAATGCATGGCTGGTGGCTTGTGGCGATATGCTACTCTTGGTCGGCTGTCGGGGATCTATTGTGGTATCAGGGGTAACCTTTGAAGTCTTTCGCCTTGACCTATCATTTGAGCCTGCACTGTGGTTCAAGGTGGAGAAGCTAGAGCATTGGGCGATATTCATCAGCACGGACAAGAGAAGCCAGGCTTTGTCTTGCATGAACCCAGAGATATGGGGAGGGCGGAGCAACTGCATATACTGCTATAACCAGGAGTCTGAACGTTGGATTTCACTTGAGCTCGGCAAGCCGCTGCAGGGAGATGTCTTTATTTTTATGGGTTGTGATGGCAAGGTGCAACCTATGTGGGTTATCCCCAGCATGCTCTCTGTGTGTAGGTGATTATGATGATCATGATGCGTGGCTACTATATCTTATATTGAAGCAAATCCTATTATTGCAAGGATGTTTAAGAATTATCCACATTTGGTAGTTGTCGATCGTCGAATTTCGTAACTTGTAGTAATGCATTATATTGGTCTCAACAGATTCTAAATTTCAGCATGATGGTCTTGAATTATTTCCTCATGTGGTTGCTATGTTCGGTGATGTTGTTGCATGCATCGTGATGTTGCAAATTTCGGTAATGCGCATGTAGTGAATTCCTTTCTTTGATTAATTGGTGTTCAATGGGTTTCTGCCATTGGTTATGCTCAAGGCCAAGTGTATTTAGGTGGGGTTTCCTGTTATTGTTTAAGCTTGTTTTCACATTTCCCTGCTAACTCTGCAAGGCTTTATATTTCCTTTTTATGCAACAGAAACCGCCAACGTCCGGGTTTGAACATTGTTTGTTCATATTTCAGTCATCTTGTTTGTCGATTGTGCTTCGTGCTCCTCGACCTGAGCACTAGAACTGTTCTTTCAGTGAGCTGCACAATGTTAGTTCTGAATGTGAGATTTTTTATGTTGCAGCGGGTTTGGTTTTGTCCTTCATGTGGTTTCCCTTTTTATACTTTTGGTTTGCTAAATTTGGTCTTATGACTGAGGTGTGACAACCTGAGAAACAAATCTTGCATTTCTAGTTCCATTCAGTTTCTTGATTTAAAGTATTTGTAGGCTCTCTAAACCCCTAAAAATCTTCAGGAACAAGATTACATCTTGCACAAGGAAGAAGTCATCTAATCTAGAATAATCCAGTAACTCTGCCAGACTTTCATTTCCTTTTTTTTTATGCAATGGAAACTGTGGGCGGGACCTGGTTCTAGCAATGTACTCCCTCCGTTCGGAATTACTTGTCGCGGAAATGAATGTATCTAGACGTATTTTAGTTTTAGATACATCCATTTTTGAGACAAGTAATTCCGAACGGAGGGAGTATGTTGATACTTGAGTACTGAACTGAACATTGCTGCTTGTGCATGAACCGACTACTGAACTGAACTAATATTTCAGTGAGCTTCACAATGCTTGTTATGCAACTAGGTTTGTTTTTCTTGATGCTGCAGCAGGTTTGATTTTTTCTTTCATGTGGTTTCCCTTCTACTCTTTTGGTTTCCTGAAATTTTAGTTTTATGGCCGAGCGACAACAATTCCCTTTTTGTTTTATGCTTAATTTTTGTTTACATTTCAAAATATTATATATGTATATACTATAAAATTTTAATTTGATGTTAAAAAACATTTACCACAATCCTAAAAAATGTCCGTGCAATGTAAAAATTAGTTTGCCGAATTTTTAGTAGAGTTCATACCATTAAAAAATGTTTACATATTTAGAAATTTGTTCATGACATTTATAGAACTGTTCATGATTTTTTTAAAAATCATGTAATTTGTAAAAATAACATTTGTACCATTCAAAAAATATTCATGATGTTTTAAGGAAGTTCACGCGTTTAAAATTATATCTTATGACATTTCAAAAAAGATCATGAAATGAAAAAAATATGTCCTCAGAATTTAATAAAAAAATTCATGACATATAAAAATTATTTTGTGATTATTTTTTAAATCTAACAGTTACGTTAAAAACATATCCAGGACATTATTGAAAAATATTCAATATGTGTATGAAAATATTCACTTTGTATTAAAATTGTCCAATGTGCATTTTGCAAATGTTCAACACTTATTTGGATAAATATTCAACTTCTATTTAAAAATATTCAATGTATATCTAAAAAATTCAACAATAACCAAAAATGTTCAATATCTTAATAAAATTTTGAGATGTATTTGAAAAATGAAAAAGGAAGAAAAAACCAGTAGGAAAATAAAAATAAAATAAGATAACCAAAAAAATATGATGAAAACCGAAAGAGAAAATTATATAGAAGAAGGGGAAGAAAACCCCACACCGAACCTTCCCAAAACCGGCTAAAACCGAGCGGAAGGTTCTACGAACTGTTCTTTACAAGCTTCCTAAAAACCTCTTTTTTGGGTGGCCCACTCGATTGTGAGATATAACAGTGATGAAGACGGGGAGAAGAAAGCACCTAATTAATGGGTACCCCTTGGAAGGCTCCCATAGTGGGTAATTTTCGGCCCATGCTCGAGATGCGGCATGGCGATCGTAGCGAGCGAATGAGGCTCTACCACGGGGGGCCTTGTGGTATGTTTCTAGTTTCTTAGTGTACTAACGAGTTGAGGCAGTACAGATTACAGTGTACATACTGAGCGAAGTACAATAGAAGGATGGATTCGATAGGGAGCACATGCATGCTTCACATAGTGTAGCAGTTGTGCTTCATGCACTATAACAGGTGTGCTTCCCATACTATAGGAGGTGTCTTGCGCGTACTAGGGAGCACAAAGTGCACTGCACGGGGAGCACAACTACAATATATACTTGAGAGAACATGTGCAGTACGTGGGGAGCATAGAGTGTATTCTGTGGGAAGCACAAGTGTACTAATAAAGCGAAGCACAAGTGCACTTCTGTCGGTATTTTGTGCCGATGTGCCATGAAGGGACGGTCGATTTGTTCGGAGGGGCAAGCACGCATGGGATCGAGACGGTGAGGCGCAAACGAGGGGATTTACCCAGGTTCGGGCCCTCTAGGAGGAGGTAAGACCCTAATCCAGCGTCTAGTGTCTCTATTGATGTGGTGTTCGCCGAAGATCACAAGGATCGCCAGTGAACTGTGTTTCGCTTGGGTTACAAGCTTTCGGCCTGGCGACTGAGAGGTTAAGGAGGTGGTTGTAGGTGGGAACAAACCAGATCTAGGGTTTTCACTGATTCTCTCCTCCCTCACCTCAGAGAGTCCTTGTCCCACCTTGTATACTTGTCGAGCTAGGTTACATGAGTTCCCGTCAGATGAGATCTAATTAAAGACAGGTTCCTCGCTGCTTGGTTGCCCGGCCCATGCCTTGGCATCCCTCTCCTCAGGTGTGTGGCCCAGGCGTTGAAGCACGCCCCCTGGTCCATATCGGGCTTCCATGAAGTGGGCCAGGACATTCTTATCTAGACGTGTGACTCACTATTCCTTAGTGTTCAGTCTATGTGTCGTTTGCTCGTCAACTAAATGGCAAGCACAAATGCAGTGCAGTAGGGAGCAAAGAGTACACTACGCGGGGAACACGAGTGCACTACAGAAAGGGAAACACAAGTGCACTACAGAAAGGGAGCCACAGATGCAGCATGTCTAGAACCGAAAGAAGCACATGTTGAGTACACTAGGGAGCACAAATTACGATGAAAGAAAAGTTCATCGGAACTTGTCAACATGAGATATAGTTTCGAGCATCTCGACGAGAGGAACATATTGTTAAAAATGGTTCGCAATTTGCACGCACGGCTCAAGAGATATTTCATTTAGAAATACAGATCTAAAAAAAAGTTCATAAACAACCCACCCATCCATTGTTGTGTGCGAGGAGAAATTACACTCAAACTCCCAGGTTACAACAAGTGACACATATACATTGCGGCACTTATCAGCATTGGAGGAGTTTTGGATGACATTTGCAAAAGATACCCCCACACA